TGATAATCACGGCTGGCTTTTCCTGATCAGGGCCTCGCAGCAAGCCTCTGCTTCAGGCTCTGTCCCGCTCTCATCCAGACTAGGAAGAGCTGCAAGTAGACGTTAGCTGATCAAACTCTTTCCATAAGATGCAGGCAGCAGCTGCAGCCTGGCTGTGGAGGGAGGACGCGTGTGCCTGCTGGCTGGAGAGGGAGGTGGGTGTGCGGCAATGGAACTGCACAGTGGGCAAATGCTAAGGCAGTAGCTGACCCACTGTGGGAGGGCATGTTGGACTTGATACTGGCTTTGGCTTGCACTGGGAAAGTGACCCGATAAGAGCCGGCATCAACTGAAACGGCAGGGCCCTCCCTGGGTAGAGCTGGTGGCGGTCTTGATGGTGGCAGTCATGATCACAGGTCTGTTCCCTGCTGATTGTCGGGTGCTGGAAGCAGTTTGGTGAGGTCGGGAGGTAACCAACACTCTTACACCAGCTGAGACAGGCCTTGGGGGCCTGCTGATGTGAGCCCTTGCTGCCAGGGTGGGCCTCTCCTAGAGGCCAAAAAGCCCATTCCTAGCGTGCTGCAGAGGCCCAGGAGGGCTGTGCCCCGTCCTCTGCCCTGAGGATGTGCAGCGGGCTCCCAGCGGTGGCCACGGCAGAGGGAATTGGCTTCTTGCTCTTGAGTTGCAGCTGCGACAGAAGGACAGGAAGAGACACCAGGAATCAAGCAACAGGAGCCCATCACCCTGCGGTGGGGATGACCAGTGCAAAAGGGCTCTGAGAAGACATGAGATGCAGATGGGTTGACTCGGGCTGTGTGATTTCGCTTGCACAGACCCTGGAAGCTCCATGGGGTTGAGGATGTTATCTTTAGGTTTTATCTGAGGCTCTTTGAGCAGGCTCCTTCACTTCCAGCCCTCTGCTGTTAGTAAGCTGCCAGCTGTGTTCTTTAATAGGGATGGAGCAGTTGGAGTAACTCAGTAACGTATCCGGGCACCTCCCAGGCTGCGCTCCTGGAGCTGTGAGGCAGCACCCTGAGGCGGCAGGGGCAGGGGGTGGCTGGCAGGCCCAGGACAGGGCTGAAGCAGGAGTTTGGGGGAATCCCCAGCCAGCCTGCCTGCCCTGAGCAGCTCTGGGGGTTGGGGAATGGTCTCCGGTGGGTCTTATAAGAGGAAATGTTGGGATTGATTGGCCAGATGGGATCTGTCCAGACTGCTTCCTAGCAGACAGGCTGGAACAGGGAGCTTCAGAGGGGGATGAAGCCCGTTGAGGAATGGTGGAATGTCCTGGCAGCAAGCTGCTCCGTGCCTGCAGGAGCAGGTGCCTCCTGGGCAGCAGTGAGTTCCAAAAAAGCCTTCAGTCCTGTTCAGTGTAACTAGGGAAATTGGCCCTTATCCATATACATGTCTAATCCTCTTTGCTTCCTCAGGATTTGCCACTGCAAGAAGTCTGTGGGCTGCCTTACCGGGCACTTTGTTAAAAATCCTTTATTTGTCTCTTTACTGGCTGCCGGTGTGACTCCTGCGAGTGTGCTCCGGACTCCTGTCTGTAGGGCTCCTCTTCTGTCCTGGCATGCTGTGTCCCGCTCCCGTTCTCTCTTGTTTTCTTTAGTCTCTTATCTCATGGAGACAGTTTTTTCCTGGTCTCATACCCTTTCTGGAACCTTCTTAATTCTGTGTTAGATGAGATAAAGATAATCAGAGCAGAGCCCGGTACCCTGAGGAGCAGCTTCCGTCTCATCACATGATAGATTTGTTTGCATTGCGCTGGAGCATGTCTGCGGTTCTGACACTGTTTTGTCCTGAGCAAGGCTTTTGTTAGATAGCTAACAGCTATGCCCTGGATGGTTTTTGCAGTGGCTGTACGGGTTTAGAAAGTAGCGACATGGTGAGGAGTTACGTGTTTACTGGAAGAAACTGTTTTTAGTGTATGTGGGACTGGGGAAGCTACTGAGAAAAATGTTAAGCCCTGCTAACTCGTCTGAAGCTGCTGGGATGGTGGCCCCAGCAGAGCTCCTGGCATTGCCAGCAGCAGTCCAGACTGCGCTTTATTAAAGACTGGTTCTGCGGCTGCTGTGTTTAACTCGGATCTGTCACTTCCCCCCACTTACATTCCTGTCCCATGTCCCTGCTTGTGCGTTGCAGCCGCCGTCTCCTGGTATGATGAGTTCCAGAGGCTCTACGACACCATCCCTTGCGTGGAAGTGCAGGCCCTGAAGGAGCACAATGACCAGGTTTTGCACCTCAGCTTCTCCCACTCTGGCTGTTTGTTTGCATCATGCTCCAAAGACTGTACCGTCAAGGTAAAGCCTCCCCTGCACAACCCTTCCAGCTTTGGTTTAGTGAGGCTCAGCCACAAGAGCAGCCTTTAGAAAGTCTGTGGAGAGGAGAGGTTTGACCAGGTGTCCCTGGACTTAGGCTGGTTCCTGCAGAGGCTGAGTTGTTCTCAAAGCCACAGAACAAATGACTCTTGCAGATCTAGCCTTGGGGGCTGTGGATTCCAGGTCCAGCCCGCGTGGAGGTGGCCGAGGTGCCTTTCTGGCTTTGGTTTTTGTCTAGATGCAAATCAGTCCCGTTGTGCTGTGGCTCTAACAACTGTGGAGATGATGAGCCACTGCAGAAGTTTTCTTGCGTGAGTGGTTATTTTGGGAGAAATCTCTCTGAACATGCTGAAAAATCCAGTTGAGACAGTGCCTGAGCACCTTTGCCGCTGACTGGTGCAGCAGTCCTGTGTCAGCTGTTGGCTGTTTTGTTGGGAAGCACTCTTTATCAGGGAGTGGAGTGACAGGACGAGGGGGAATGGGTTCAAGCTGAAAGAGGGGAGACTTGGATGAGATGTGAGGAAGAAATGTTTTCCTGTGCAGGGGGGTGAGGCAGTGGCCCAGGTTGCCCAGAGAAGCTGTGGATGCCCCATCCCTGGAGGGGTTCAAGGCCAGGCTGGATGAGGCTTTGGGCAACCTGGGCTAGTGGGAGGTGTCCCTGCCCATGGCAGGGGGTGGCACTGGATGATCTCTGAAGGTTCCTTCCAACCCAAAACATTCTGGGATTCTGTGTCAGGGGAATTGACAGGGAAATTGGGACTGGGAGGCAGTTAAATAGGGTCTTCAATATTATTTTATTTCTTTTCCTGTGAGTGCTGGCATAGCAGATGAAGTGGAACTGCTCTCAGGCTTCTCAGCAGCTTCCTGAGTCTTTGTCCGTCTGTCTACAGATCTGGAGCAATGAGTTGGACATCTCTCTGCAGCACAGCTCCAACATGAGACCGTACAACTGGAGCTACACACAGTTCTCCCAGTTCAACTCTGATGACTCCCTCCTTCTGGTGTCGGGCGTCTTTGTGGGGCCTCACAACTCCTCGTCAGGAGAGATTGCCGTAATCAGCATGGGTAAATACCAGCCTTGCCTTCACTGGGGCTTCCTGGGAACTATGAAATGGTGGGTGCTGGGTTCTCTTCCTCTTCAGGTGTGTAGTGGCCTTGACCTCTGCACAGGTAGTGGAAGGCAGGACAAGCAAAGGGTTCCCAGTTGCAGTTTCATAGGGTAAACCTTCTGGATAGCCTTCACTCTGCTCATGTCATCACCTGAAGGCAGTGTGGCATATATTTATTCTCTCTTAGCTTCTGTTCTAAGTGACAGTCTGGGCAAGGCAAGAATTATCTGTGTTACCTGTTGTCTTGAAGACACCGTTTCTCTCTCAGGTGGTGCAGGTCTCATGCTGAGGTCTTGCCTGAGGCACATTCATCCGGGTCTGCTTCACCTCTGCTGCTGCAGTTCTGTGAGACGCCCCAACCCCAACTGCACTATTTCTCACCATCTCTCTGCTACAGTCCTACAGTGCCAGAAATTGCGAAGTGCTGCTAAATGCACAGCTGTCTTGCTCAGAAAGGCCCTGAGCCCCAGGGGCGGGCGTGAAGAAGTTCTCTCTGTGTTTGACTTGTTCTTGTACTTGGGATGTCTGCTTTGGGCTATGCTGGGAGAAAGGCTGTGCAGTTAGATTGCTCTCTGGTCTGCTCCATCCAGCTGCCCTTTCATTTTGGTTTCCCTTGTGCATTCTCTCCCCACACGTCTCTGTAGAAGAGAGAAATAACGTAACTCCGCATTAGTGAGTGGAACTGGACAGCGGTTGGGCAGTGTCCGCTCAGCTTGCGGTGGAGGAGCTGCCTTGGTGTCTCTCCTGTGGAGACTCGAGTCTCCTTCCCATGTCTTCTGCCATGGTTTCTCCAGAGCCCTTGTCGGGAGCCATTGCCTCACTCTCCTGTTTCCTCTCCTTTCCAGAGAACTTCACGCTGCTTTCCAGGGTGAGGAATAAACCCTATGATGTGTTTGGCTGCTGGCTGAATGAAACCAACTTGATATCTGGCAATCTGCATCGGATTGGGCGTATAACCTCCTGTTCTGTGCTGTGGCTGAACAACGCTTTCCAGGTGAGGAGGTGCCTTTGTTCCAGCTCCACAGGCAGTGCAGCTTCCTGCTGGATCCTGGGGGAGGAAAAGCTGCGGAAGAGGTGTGAGCTGGGAAGAATGGCCCAGTCCTCCTGTCCTCCCTGTTCGTCTCCTCTGACAAGCCCTCAGGATCTTGAGGCAGCCCTTGCCTGAGGTTTCTCTCTGCTCGGTGTTGTGGTACCCACTGCAATTTTCTAACCCTGCCCCCGGATTCTATTAGCTCTTGCCCCATTAATTGGGGTGAGGACTTGACTGCAATGCCCTAGAGCGTGCGTTGCTCAAGAGGAGAGTGGCTGAACCACAGCAGGGTGGCTGAGGTCCTCGAGAGCATGAAGCTGGGCCTGGGACTGGCACGTATCCCAGTGATGGCTGTTCTCCCTCTTGGCAGCCAGTGCATTGTTCCCTGGAGCAGAGAGGCTGCGCTCAGCCCTGCCTGTCACTGCTGACGCCTCTGTGGGCCAGGTGCTGCCTCTGATGCTCTGGTGAGGCCTGGAGATCAGCGTGTGCTGGCCTTTGACTGCTTGTTTGCTGCTTGTTTGTTCTCTGGCGCTTGTGCTGCTCAGATGTGTTCCTCTTCCGTGTTTTGCCTCTGTCTCATTTTCACAGCTGCACATCCTGATGCTTTGTGGTTTTTAACACAAAACTGGCCCTCTGCTAGCAGAGACCCTTCCCATAACCCCATCTCTGTGCTGCCCTGACACTACAGCATTAACTGCTCCATCTCCAGGAGGCAAGGAAGGACCTTGCTCACTTGGACGGGGGCTGTTGGAGTGCGGCCACGACAGCCAGAGCAGTCAGGCAGGAAGAGACCTTGTGGCTTGTTTCTGGGAGCAGATAGCCAGGCTGGTCCTGCTGAGGGGTACAGGCAAACACCAAGGGCATGGTGGTCCTCCACCCTTTCTGCTTTACTGGGGAGGATGGCACTTCACACTGCACCTGCGTTACCACAGAGGCGCGTTCCTGAAATTCTCGTAAAGTGCTGAGCAGCACCAGCTAATGACCTCGGGGTGCAGCAAGGCTGCCTGGCCTCTGTGTTTCCCAGCTCCACTGTTGCCTCGCTGCAGGAGCTTTTTGTCTTGGTGTGCCCACCTCCACGACAGGAAGGAGTCCAACAAAGCTGGCCAGCCTCCTGGGCCAGTTCTCGTGGTCAGTGCTCCATGTAGCCGTGCGAAGAGAGGTCAGTGTGTGGCTGGTGTCTGCTGTGTGCGCTCAGGGTCTGGGCAGGTGGCTCTTGGTCTGAGCTGTAGGAGTGACCCTCCAGTGAGGTGGTTCCTGCTTATTTCTCCCTTCTGCTTGCAGGGCATAGAGTCTGAGAACGTGAATGTGGTGAAGAGGCTGTTCAAAATCCAGAACCTGAATGCCAGCACTATCCGGACTGTGATGGTGGCTGACTGCAGCCGGTACGATTCCCCGGACCTGCTCCTGGACTACGAGGAGCAGCTGGCTGCTTCCTCCACCTCCACCTGCCCAGTCTTTGATCTTGGCAGTGACAGCGAGGAAGAGGAGGCCAAGCCCAAGCAGACTCCAGAGCCAGCAGTACAGGAATTGCCAGATGAAGGGGGTGTGACGGCAGAGGACGGGCTGCAGCAGTTCTTTGATGATATCATGGAGGGCCGCGTGAGGCCTGCCATGACCGACACAGAGTTGGAGACAAAAGTGGCTGAGCTGTTCGTACGGAACAGAACTAAACCGCCTGAGCTGAACCTGCTCCCCACAGACAGCAACAGCAAGACAAAATACTTAATCTTCACCACAGGATGCCTCACCTACTCCCCGCACCAGATAGGTAAGGCTGTGGTCTGAGCCCAGGGCATGCCAGCTTCCCTGGGGGTGTGGGCTGCAGCTACGCTCTGGATTTGAATCTGGAAAAGACCTGTTTCATTTGCTGCCTGTTTGTGGTGAGTGAGTTGCAGTTTTGCTCAGGCTGCTGGAGTCTTGATACAGGAGGCTTTTGAGATGCCCCCAGTTGCTGAAGGGGGTCCCACCCTGCAAGCACTTGCCTGAGGGTTGTTTTGTTGCTACCAGGCTTGACACATGGCCAGACAAGACAGTCATGGTGAGGGCTGAGCAGAAGATCAAGAAGGAACTCATGACTTAAGGACATCAGCCATGAGTTGCACTCAAGCAGGTGGATGCAAAGGGCAGCGATGGCCCTGATAGGGGCGTGTGGAAGGGACTCAGTCCTGCTGTCTTGGGGGGGTGGAGAAGGCATCAGGCAAGACTAGCTTGAGCGGCTTGGGGTTCACCTTCGCCCCTCAGCTCTGGGAGTCGGAGCCCTGCCTGCCCCTGTGCCCCCCCTGCCTGCCCCACTGCCCGCTGTGGGGTCACCCTACACCACGTGGCTTATCAGCCTCTGCAAGACACTTGGGCACCTCTGTTTTGGTACCGAAGAGGCTTCACGGTGGGTTATTAGCTGCCCCCGTGGGCGTTTCCATGATGAGCTGATGCCACGCAATGGTGCTGCTGGTGACCTTTTTCTGTGTTGGGACTTCCCTTGCTCATTTGGGGCTCTCTTGTTGAGGCACTGGGACTACCAGAGTCTGAATTTCTAGGAAATCAGCACAGTGATGAGCAGAAGCAGGCAGGCTGGCTGCTTTTCCAGAAGCCCCTAAAGCTAGCAGAGTTCAGTGGAAAGGACCAGATGGATCAGTAGAAATGTGGGGAGGGAAGGAGAGCTGCTCCCAGGCCAGAAGTCAGGCTCCTGTAAAGCCAGTTTCAGTTCCTTTTGTTGCTTGCCCAATGACAGCCTCGCTTTCCCACCGCGGGCTCCTCTAACCTTCCTGCTCCTTGGTGCTGCACCAGTACAACCCAGTAAGGCAGGGAAAGGCAGTTTCCAAAGCTGTAGATAACTGGGAGCAGAGTCGCTTGGTCTTTGCCCGTCTAAGTTAGGAATGCGATGTGGACGGGGCGTGCTCTGTGCTCCTGTGCGTGGCCGGGTGTGCAGCCAGAGGTGGTGGGCTTGTGGCGGGGCGTCTGCCCCAACCCCTGTAGCCTGACCCCCGGGGCTGAGCAAACGCCTCGCAGGCTGGGGGCTGCAGCGAGCGAAGGCAAAGCGTGGTGCAGAGGTAGCACCCGCTTTTGGACTCCACCGACTTCCAGCGCAGCCTCCCCAGGGCCATGGGTTTTGGTGCCTTTGAACTCCAGTGACTCCCTGGCTGGCAGCCCGTGCCCACAGCACAGACTGGCTGTTCAGAGGGGGTGAATCCTGGCTCAGCTCCTCTCCCAGCCACGAGTCACTGCAAAATGTTGTTTGCCCACCGGTTTGTGTGTTGAACTGGCCTTTGTGCATCTGCTGTCTGCCCCCAGGGAACGGGTACTTGACAGAACTCGCTGTTGTGCTTGCCTCGCCGGGCTGCTGGTGGGAGCTGTGCTCCTGGCTGCTGGGCATCAGCGTGATCTTGCCTGATGTACAGCACACAAGCGCTTCTCCTGCAGGAGTTTCCTTTGAGCTCCTGCCTGCCTCCCTTGTGCTGGTGGCTGGCGTGAGTCATGGGTGCAGCTGCCTGTTCTGCTGGCTTGTGCGGGTGTGGGCCACGAAGCTGAGTTTGGGAGTGTAGTGCTGTGGAAATGGAGATGGAGATGCTGGTGAGCAATGGCAGTGGGGTGGAAGAGCAAAGGTCCTGTTCTGGAGGTCCTGGGCTTCCCAGGTTCCCTTGCAGTGATGCTGTGAAGGGCCTCGGACGTGAGGTGCAGTGTGGTGTCACCCCTGCCTGGTTGATCTGCGGGAGCAGGCTAAAATCAAGGGCGCTCGGCAGCGATTCCCTCAGAGGGGCGATGGGATGGGCTGTCTTCTAGCTCCTCTTGGACCCACTGAGGATTAAGCCCATGTGTGCCCAAGAGCTGCTGAGGCTCGTGGGAGT